CTCTTGTAATGACAAAAAAATATGCTTTAAACTCTTAGGGAAACCCTGCTGGTCTTGGTTTCTTATTTTATATTTACTTGAAGCCTACTAATATGGCCCTTTGTGCCATTATTTTACTCAAAACATGACATTGCAGTTTATTGTTTGTTGATTGATATTTGATACTGTTTGATTTTTACTGTTAAAAACACATTTAAGTGTTAATTTTTATATTTTCAAGTTTTAGATATTAGGTAACATTAAAAAATTATATAGTTTTAACTATAAATCAATATTAGCACGTTTTCGTTATATTGAAGAATATCAATGACATCAACACTTTAAACGCAAATAAAAATGTTATGAAGGTAGCTTTACGCCCAATTTTTTTAAAAACTAACAAAAATGTCGAAGGTTTCAAATGTCTATAAATAGTTTAAATCTTTTGAAAATTATATCATGAAAATGAATTATATGTGTATAATAAACATTTGGTGAAAATATCTATTGTCTACGGTTATTTATTTTTGAATAAGTTACATCAGAATAACTAAATCGATTTTGTCATAAATTGCTGGTGTTGTAGGTACTATAATGTTCTCATTTTCCGTTATCATCTTGTAATTTTAATTTTAAGCATAAACTTCAAAATAATTATTTTACATCCTATATGGTATCAAAACCTAAAAAAACTAAAAAATTCAAGTATTTTTAAATTTCAAAAACTCAATGATATATATTAAAAAAAAGTTTAATAATAATAAAACCAATACATTCATCGCTCCGCTTAGATCTAAAACACCCCCTTAGTACTATATGCTAGCGATATTATTATCGTTTCGATCGGGACTAACCACAAGGGTTGCTGCGCTTTGTACTCGAATGTTGTTTCTTCCGCACGTGTACGCATATATCAATGATAACATTGATAGAACACTTTAAGAATATTCATTATTTTATAATATTTTGTTTCAACATTAAACATATCATTATCATACTAATTGTATGAAATAACTTATTTATCCGATAAAACATCTAAATACATATTTGAATTTACCCTGAAACAAATTTTCGTAGAAACTAAAGATAACAGATATTCATTATTAGGTACCTAATAATGACATTAATATCAAACGTTTAAAATGTGTATTGTGGAAGTGGAGAGTATTCTTATGTTACCTACTGTGATATTATAGCTTTTTCTTTTGATAAACACTTTTTCTTTATATATACAACTGGGGTATACAATAAACTTACCTAAATATGCATTTACATCAGTTAAGTCGGAATAACTCGAAAACCACCATAACTTAAATGTAACAATAAATAGGTATTACTATTACAAATTTACAAATTTTAACACTTTGTAAACTATTGTAATTTTTACAGGGCGCTTCATATGAAGGAGCATCCGGACTACAAGTATCGTCCACGTCGCAAGCCTAAGACGATGGTGCAGAAAAAAACCGACACCAGTGTAGTGTCAGGCAAACCTGTTTCGTACTCGGTGCGCGACCTGTTGCCGCAACACGAATCGTCGGCCGCGGCCGCCGGTAGTGGGTCTGTTGCTGTGTCGGCTGCCGGATCGATGGCGCATATATCAATGGCCGGTGAACATCAGTCGTCCGCCACTGCGGTGGCCGTGGCCAAATTTCCGCGTGCCTACTTCTCACCATACCAACACCACCACTACCCGTCATCGTTCTACCAACAGGTGGCCAAGGACCTGTCGACTGTGGCCAGCAGTGGCGGCACCGGCACTGAAGCGGCCGCCGCGGGAAAGGCCGTCCATGACCTAGCGCTGCATGCGCTCTACGGCAGCTCTCTGTACTCTCGGGCTGTGTCGCTAGCTACCGGGTGGCCGATGATGGCTGCTGCGAACACCACGGTGGCCGGCTCCAACGGTGGCTGTCCTGTCAACTGCGTCGAGTGCGGTATACACGCGGAGCGTCCGTCTCAATCGCCACTGCAACTGCAGCCACTGCCACCGCCACCGCCTAGGCCAGCGCACGAATCATCCACGTCATCGTCCACACCTTCGCCTCCTGCCCAGTTCCCGCCGCCCACACTACTATCGACGGCCACTGCCGCCGCCGCGGCTGTCATTAAGCGGCCCATCGCTCTTCTCGTCAAACCGGATTGCATCGGCCAGGCTGGACTACATGCACAACATGTCATATGAAAACCGCTGCCGGTTCTACCGGAACCGGCCGCCGGCACAGCCTGCACCGTTGCCGCCATGTCGGCCGCCGTCCAGTGCGGTTGGCCGCAATGTTCGTCGTCTTCGTCGTCATCGCCGCCGCCACCGCCGTCGACGGCGACGTCTCCCTTGGCCACACCGCCGTGGTGGCTTCAACAGCTGCAGCAGCAGCTAATGATGTGCAGCGGCAGTGGCGGCCACAGGAACGCTACGGCCGTCCGTGGATCTCCCGGACCGCCGCCTGCCTCTTCCGCCTCCGCTGCCCAAGATCATCGACAGGACTAGATGAGCACCGCGTACATCACTTTCCACCACCACGGTAAGGTTTATACTACATATTTGTATGACGTATGACGAAAAAGAACGAAAACGGCCGCCGAGGACTTAGTTTTTGTTTTTTATGTAAATAGTAATAGTTTATATACATTTTTATTACGCATTGATCAGTTGGAAGATAACAATTTAAATTAAATTTGAACTAAAAAATTGGAAAGATAGTAAAATATGATATACGTTATTACTCGCAGTCCAGTGTAGTAGTCGAAACATTTATTATGAACAAGCCCGAAAAATAGCACAATTTTGTCAAAATTTGCAAATATTACTCTTAACTATTTGTTTTTTTTTTTTTAATTTAAACGTCCAAATAACCATTTATAATATTGTATATTAAAATTTTAAATTAATGATCTCCGTTGTTTTACCCACTAATTATAACTGGACCTCGTAACTCATTCAACTATTCTTAATGTCATTTCATATGGGAACTAGGTTTTATACCGAAAGTGGTTATATATTACAATTTCCAAACATATACAATTTAACAAATATAGGATAATGTATTAAGTTAAAAAGTGAACAATTTTCGTATATTGTGCGAATAACTTTATCTCGAAAATATTTCTAAATTTATTAATTTGATTAATATTTCAAAACACATATTATTTTATCGTTTTAGTTAATCGCAAATATTTAAAAATTTACGATTAAGAACCTATGGTGCATTTAATTCCATGTTATCTACTAAACATTACTGAAGAACTCGTATAGGACCCATAATGCATTACGATAAATTAAGTCGTGCGATAATATGACATAATATTTATTTGTTAGAAGTAAAAGGTAGATAAAATACAACCGGCATCAGATTATAACACAAATAAAAAGGTTTGTGGTGACTTTTGTTGGACGGAACTTAAATAACGAATGACCTGAATAAAACCGGAACTTAAAAGAGTAGTGGTAGAAAAAAATGTATTACCTCCTACACCCCGGCTACTTCACAATCTTACACTGTGTATCTGCCTATTGTATACATTGTATTATATATTAGGATGTATACGATGTATAAATATTATTTTATTGAAAAAAATAAATATGTTCTGTTTTTTTTGTGCGYACAATTTATAATAATATAATGTATTTATGATACTGATTAGTCCTCGATGTTTCAGTATAATATTATTATTATTCAATGTTATATATTATATTTCTTATCTAATTGTGTATAATAAATATTATAAATAATTATGTGTGTATAATATATTATATATGTATTTATAAGTTAAACATTTAATTTCGGTAATACTTTTTGTAGAATTTGAAGTATTCAATAGTATTTTTAATGTAAATCAAAAATATCTGGTTATATATTATAATGTACGGTTATTTGTTATTCTTATTTTTATTTTCAAAAGCAATATTTTTTAATTTGTATATAGTTTATTATTTATGATTAAAATGGTCGATCGACAGCGGTTGTATACTATAATAATATATCCATTAAATTTTGTTTTGTACCTACTTTACAATATTAGATTTTATTTATAATGCTATTCGATCAGATAATGTTTATAAGCAAAAGTCACCGAGAAGTAATCATTAATCTGTTGGGTGGCGATAAGTTTGAAGTAACTGCATCAGCACGTTTACAATTATTGTTGAATTCCGGTTAAGAGCTGTCGTATTATTGTATTCTCGAAGTAAGTTTCTGATCTCGGCGAACGGTTAATGCTTTTTTTTTAAATTACTATTGTGTTCTGTTTATTTTATATATGAGTATATAATATATATAGACCAAAATATTATTTCAGTGGAAAACCGTAAGATAAAAAGTCAATTCAATTTTCATTATTTCCGAGTTTATTTAAGTGAAAAAATGTTTCATTGTTCGTTCCAAAATACTATATATTATACACACCTATTTGCGCCGCGTATATTAAACGAAAACAAATTAAAYACATTTCGTAGCGGTTGGAATGAAGTTTAAAAAGTCCAGGAACGGGACAAGATCTGTACGTATCAGAATGAAGACAATTTCAAAATATGCAAAATTCTATAAAAAAAAATATAAATAAAAAAATTAATTATAAATTATATATTCTATACACGTATTACTTTAAGATTTGAATCAGTATAAGCGTATATCACTAATCTAAAATTCTATGATAATTAGGTACGTCTTATCATAAAGGTACCTATATTATATTTTATTAACCACATTACCACAATAATCAACTGTCTCTTCAACTTTTTCATAGTGATACGTTGTRCGTTTRGAAATAAAACTTCAACTGTTTATTATCCTATATATAACCGCGGTATGGTTATATACTTATATCGAATGACTTCGGTAATTCGGTTTCGTACCAATAGGATARAGGTATCTAATATAATATTAAACTATTACACTCGACGTAATGTATTTTTTGAAATTGTAWTATAATATTATTTATTTGAAACAGTCACAATAAAAATCAGAAATTTAATAAATTTAACCTATAAACGAAGAAAGTCTAACTGAATGAGCTAAATATTATCAGGGTGGTGAGTCTCGCCCATGCCAAAATTACGGGACATATCCTTACCTTAACCAAAATATCTAAATTACACTCGGGTTCAAGGAAAATAATGTTAAAAAATTTCATTCGATCCGATCACTCTACAGAACTTGTAAATATCAACTTTAGATAAAAATTCAATGCGTGTGTCGAATATCGACGAATCTGGTATTACAATGATATTATTACATGACATACAATACTAGTTCAGAAATACATGAATTAATTGATTACGTAAAAACATGTTTTTGTATTATCATTTTGAAATTGTGACAAATTAGTATTTAAATTATGGCTTAAGTTAAGATATTAAAAAAAAAAAAAATAGATATTCTTCCGACCGTTGGCTGATATTCTGTATTCGTCAGTTGATAGAATTTTTGTACTTGAATTGAGCGCAATTTTTACCTTTTTTGAACTCARCATTGTTCCGTTTCGAATGCAAGTTGATCTTATCCATTACACCCGTTAGCGATGCGGCTATATGACATAAGTGCCAAAGGTACAAAAATGACATATCATTCGTGCCAAAATTAATATTTTATATAAATTGTTATTTAAAAATTGCTATCTTTAAAAAAATTATATCATATAATAACTATATAAAAAAAAAAAAATGTTAAATTATTATATACATGTAAATTAGTAAATTAGTTTAACATAAATTTAATAAATCGGTTGCAGTTTTATAAAAAAAATGTCAATAGTAAATTATGACAAACATATGCAAATCAATATAAATTTAATAAATCGGTTAGTTCTAAATCTAATATCTATTTACCGTACCTAGGAATTTGGCGCTTATATTATACGATACGAATTTTTTTTTCTTATCTCATTTTGGTGCTTATGTCTTTCACCAAGCAATGCGAGATCAGCATATTGTTATAGGTTAAGTATAGTCTATAACACAATGATTATGTACCTACATGTAAAATATGGATTTTTACGAGATGAGTTGCTAAGGGTAACGTGTTTCTAATGATTAGTCTGAGGATCGATCAGTATTAAAATAATAGATTATATCCAAACTATGGTTCTGTGCAATATTGTTTTGTAATTTATTAATTATTTACAATCTTTTTATTTTAATTAATCATCATGTTTTGTATTGAATTATCATCATATCTCTTTTATTTTATAATACCCCCTTGAGATGAAATAATTAAATATTATATAAATATTAAAAACTAACTAAACCTTGTTAATTATTTGTACTATTATTTATTATCTATTTAATTTTACAATGAAAGAAAAAAATCCTTGCCTTACCAGTTAAGGGCTGTTGAGCTGTTCTCGTGATATATTTACATATATAGATAGGTAYGTTTATAGATATTATTTATTTATTTATTTTAATTTTTTCTTGTAATTAGTTAATTAACTAATTGCTACATTGGTAGACTGCAATTGTAATGTCGAGTGAACTTTGTTGTCAAGTAAAATAGGTCACTGTGAAGCACGACGTGTGTTTAATTGCAGTSAATTAATGAAAAACTAAAAAATGTATCAAAAATCATTACATAAATGATGAAAACGATACTGAGCGGAGTGGACTGTCAGCCTATATATTGCGCGGGAATAGGATATTGTGCTGTACTCTTTCTCAAAAGAGAAAAATCGCTTGTTGTGCATCGTGTATAACGCGATTGGTGCTTTGAAAACCACTTTTTTCAAAGTTGATGGGATATGCTATATTTTTAACATGGCTATTTGCTATTGTAAGTGATACGGTAAGTTGAATTAATTTTTTCTAAAACATCTTATTTATTATACATCTATATATATATATTTAAAATATCATTCATACTGTCATTATTGTCATATATATTACTGTTACATGTTGGTTAGACAGGAACGGCGCTAGGATTTAAGGGGCCCCGGGCAAACTAAATAACAGTCACATTACATATTATCCAAACTAACTAATCTCTGAACAGTATAAAATATCATTTGAGAACTGCGGGGCCTTGATTATAATTTTAAAATCGTGGAGCCTGGGGAAACTGCCCCGATTGCCCCCTCCCCCCTCGCRSCGTCTCTGTGGATAGATTGTAGGTATTATGTTTTAAGACAAAAAAAATGATATTACAACGTTGTAAGTATTACGGTGTGAATAGGTTTATGGCATTATAATCATTAAATATTAATAGATTAAAATTGGTGGTTGTTATGATCACRTCTCATTTTCAAAAAAAAAGTCATCGTTCAAATCTGCACACTTTTATGCATAAATTCCGCACAATTCATAAAAAATAATATACATATAATRTCAAAAAATTTCAAGTCACGAATAATATTTATTAAATTAAAAAAAAAAAACAATGATAATCTGATATTTTTGGTCAAAAAATCAAGTTTTGTTCGGATTTCAATTAAAAATATCTACGTACATAAAAATTGTGCGTAATGATGTRATGTGTATTTTGATACTTTAGGTCCTAAAGTTAGGACAGCGGTTCCCAATTAGTGTGAAGCCACGGACCCCTAGCTATAACTTAAATTGGTCCGCGGACCCCYTTYTTGTAAATRCTTACTTTTCAATTTTATTTTATTATGAAAATGAGAAATAAATTTATACGATTTATTTTCAATATGATTTAATTTTTAATTTTATACAAARTTAATAATTTCACTWAAATAAAATAAAAATATCACTACAGAACAACATAACCGCGGACCATCAATTGGGAACCGCTGCTTTAGGATTCTGTGGATTGTACGAATACTTATTATAGGAAGCTTTAAATTTAATTTATTTGACTAATATTAATATTTCATGGAGAACATCCTCGTTCAATCATAAGTCATATAGGTAAACTCACATAAAAGACGTCTTTTTCGACACGGTGATATTGTGTGCGAGATTCGTATTACCTCGAAAAAGAGAGATTCGTTCAGTATTAACTATTAAGGATACCTACTACTATACCACCTTTGCCGTAAAAGTGCTAACTGGTATGATGCTCACCCACAATTTTTATGACATTTATAAATTTATAGTATTTTCTAGGTAAATATATACCTTAGTAATTGTGAATAATATATATATATATATGAATATATGTATGTATATATACGCTCGATTGAATGTATAATAATAGTTGCAAAATAGACGACAGATAACACGCGCTCACCGTATAATATATTGAGATGAATACCGTTGCGGAGACGTCACGTCCCGTGACGGTCTTGCGGGGAAAAGAGTGGGAAGTAGATATTTTTTTACGATTTTTAACGCTTCAAATTGTATCCTTTGTCGTCGCTGACAAAAGGACGACTGCTGCAGCAGTCTGCATTCTGCAGTCACTATATGCACGCGGCTGATCGTGGACGGAGTGAGGTGAAAGAAGATCAACGGTGTGTAGTATATAAYATAATAATATTTGTTATAGGAATGCAAAAGGAGAGTCAACGGAGAAAAAAGGATTTGCGGTGGCGATGTCTGCAGCGTATGGGGAAGAGGTGCAYCGCGCGCGGTCGCCGAAGAGTCTGAGACTCGCGGGTTGTTGTCGCGGGCGCGCGTGTGGGCTGCAGCATGA